TTACAAAGAAAAATATGAAAATAAGTGGTAAAAATAATTGGAAATGCACTCCAAGGGACTTGAACCCACGCACCTAGGATCAAAGGTCAAAACATTACCAAACCATCCATTTGAGCGCTTTGTGAATCCAAGGGAAACAGAACAATATATATCAAAACATCAAAATACCATGAAAATGATCAAAAGGTTGATCCGTAGATTGAACCTAAGACTGGCAAGGCAAGGAGAGTATTGAGAGCGCATGGTAAACCACTGGGATGGTGATAAATCCATTATGTCTATCCTATCAATAAATTAATAAGGCTAACAACATGATCTGAGGCCTAGAAAATGTGTCATGGCTGGTCACAAAGCTCATCAATTCAGTTTGCAAAAGCAATCATAACTTACTCAATTCTTCATGAAATTAAATGATCCAAAGATCAAACTTGCTCAAAATTTCTCAAGGAATACAATGGAGAAATTATTTTTGTCAAACAATGCTTCCATCTCAAAACCCGATAGCAACAACAACAAAAAAGCTCATTTTGCAATTTCAATAATATAGACTTATTCAAACATGATAAGCATCAAATACAGGTTCATACACATCACAAATATCATATTAAACATGTTCATGATCCGTGCACATCAAAGCATAACATGGTTTTCAAAGTTAAAGTTCTAGCAAACTTACCTCTTGAAGCTCAAAGTAAAATTTCAAGATAGCTGCTACAGATGCCAAGTAATGCTTTAGACACTTCCAATAGACCTTCAGAAAGCTTTTGGGATGCTTGAAATCAAATAAACACAACTGGAACAGAATACCCCTTCTTCTTGCAAAATGTGAAAAGTGACCAATTGAAAGTTCAAGTAAATGAAGTTGCAGATGGAAAACCAGGTTTGGAACAGTTTGGTGATGATTTATGGAAGGTGTTTAAAGTGTTTGAAAGTTTGGAAATTGACTGAGTGAGGACTTGGCTTTGAAAATGCAGAAAGTCAACAATCTTTGGATTAAGGATTGACTTTTTGATTTTTGAGGTTTTGGATCAATATGATGGTTTGAACACCCTTAGGAGGTGTTTTGTGGTATGTGTGAATGGTTGGATTGGAGGTTTTGTGACTGTAAAGGGTTTGGGATGAGTTTTTGCAAAACGGAGATTTTTGGTTTCAAGTGGTGACTTGAAGACCAAATCTGATATGAGAGGGTTTTGAGATGCTTGAGGCGTGTCTTCCTTCCTTCTTTTTTTGGATCCTCTGAATCTTAAGTGAACCTCTATTTATAGGGCAAGGTTGGAGGTCAGGTTTTCAACTTGTTGTAACTTGATAGTTTTCAAATTTTGGTTGAATCCCAACTTGAGGTTTGCATAGTTCTTATAGTTCCAAGGCAAGGTACCATGAAATCTTGAGCAATTGAGATTCTTTTTTTTTACTTTAAAGTGGTTTGAGTGCAGAAAGGACAATTTAGAGGCTCAAGAAACTAATTTTGTGGAAAGGTCATGCTTTATGCAAATGGAAGTCACACCTTTATGCCAAAACTTCCATAAATGGTATGAAACTTGAACCATGGCTTAATCCTTTATGTAATGACTTCAAAAATGACTCAAACTTCTGGTCTTAAGTAGATATGCAAGTTTCAAGGTTGGCACTCAAAGGATCTTGCAGATTTGGATGGTTTTGCAAGTGGTTCTCATTAGCTCATGACCTAGAAATCAAGTTTTGGACCTCAACTTCTTCTATTTAAAACTCCTAGCTCACAAATGCTATGAAGGAGTTCTTGTAATTTTTGGAAAGCCCTAAACATGCTCTACAAATTTTATCTTTTTATAGTTTCTTGAATCCAAAAGGATCTTGGTGAAAATTGACCTTGAAGTTGACTAAAAATTGGAGTGCCAAAGCTGTCTTGAAAAATTCTAAGTGTTTTTGAAATTCTTCCAAACTTTGAAGCTTCATAACTCAAAATATAAGCATCTTTTGCTCATAGGTCACTAGGACACATTTTTATTAAATGAGGAGATCTAAACATTGATCTTTGAAACTCACAAAATTGATGTGTGGATTGAAAGTTATGGCCTTTCAAAGTTAGCACCAAAACTAGGGTTTTTATCACACTTAGAAAAATTCAAGTTTTCTTCTTTTGCAAGAAACTTCTCAAATCTTGACTTCTCATGATAAAACTCATTTTTTGGGCATATCTTGATGAAATTTGGCTTGGATGCTCCAATTTGAACCAAAAACACTAAAAGTCAAAGAGTTGACTTTGTCAGATGAATTTTGAATAGATGATTTCAAATGTGTGATCTTCAATGAAATTGCCACTTGGTACTTCTCAAACACCATGAGTAGGCTTCAAGGATGTGTATGAACATATTTAATCATTTCCTAAGGCCTGGGATCATGCTTGGATCAAAAGTCAAAGGCACAATTGACTTTTCCTGATAAAACCCTAATTTGAGGTCAGATGAAATTGGGCTTCAATTGACTTGTATTGGGATCAATTAACACTTGATTCTGGTTGAATATAAGCTCCTTGAATGTAGGGGAACTTTATTTGGTGATGATCAATCCAAAACTTTGACTGATCAAGCAATAATTCTCTTGATTTCGCAGATGTAAAACCTCAATTCAGCTGAATTTAACAACAATAAACTTGAAACAAGGTTAGGGTTAGGAAAAAATGCTTGATGCTCCTATAATGGTAATGGAATCTAGGGGTAAAAATTTGGGATATGACAATAGTATTCAGATTCCATGGTTAGATTTGAATACTCATCTGAAGCATGACCAAGAAGAAAAAAAGGTATGTTTTGTTCTTTCCTTGAAAACTTCTTGACATAATGAAATATTTATGTATGAGTAAACATAAATTATCTATTAAATATCTAGAGAAATTCTTTTAAGAATCTGCAGAAATCTTTAAAAAGAAATTATGTTGTATTTGTCAATACTAAATATGTCATTAGCTAGATGATGATCACATTTATGGAATCAGTACCTTCACGTTTTGTGATGATATTATTGCTAGTTAGTTGTCAAAGAAACCAATTCAATATTCATTAATCAAACATGACTCTAGTTCTAAGAAAAAAAAGCTTGATTCTGAATAGAATATCAAGGACTGATGACTAATGGATGATGCCTCACTTTAAGTCTAATCCTACAAGACTCTGATGACAAATATTTTTTGAAAATTGTCAGTCTCTGAGATTCAGAAAATGAATCTTTACTTCTAATAAAGAAGTTTAAGTAAAAAAATTATTTTAAAACAACTTTGTTTACTTAAAACTCCATAAAGTTGATTATCATTTGGTGGATTCAAGAAATCTGTTGGGTAAGAACCTTAGGGTAATGATGTTTTCTTTTTTATATATTTCTATTGTCTATTTCCCATGTCTTTGTGAAACATCATTGTCACACCCTCTTTTTTCGCCCAACATTTCATATTATCCATTTATCATCATTATCATCATTTGGTGTATATCAGGCATTTAAGTGGAAAGAGAGGATGTTTACTTCAAGGCAGGTGTTTGAGTTTGGGTCAGTATTTCTCCAGACATAACATAGAATAAGGAAGTTTGATTTGGTCCTAGGCAATTAGGGCAAAGACAGTGCACACCAATTGGCTAAGTTTGGTATTTCCGTCTTTCAGGAGGGAAATCCATTACTTCAACATGAGTCTGATGTGATGTTAAGAGAGGCCTCTTTATGTCCTAGTTAGTCAGGTATACCGTTTAATGCGTGGAAGATGTCCAAGTCTTTCAGGAGGGAAATCCATTACTTCAACATGAGTGTGATGTGATGTTAAGAGAGGCCTCTTTATGTCCTAGTTAGTCGGGTATACCGTTTAATGGATGGAAGATGTCCAATGACTTTGACCTTGAGTGCTAGTACCTTTAGAGGAAGAAGACTTGTGTTACGATCATTGACGTTGGATCGACAACTTAATTCCATGTTGAGGATTTGATTTTATTAAATACAAGGTTCCAAGAATTTTGAGCCCGTGACCAATTTCAGGAGTAATAAACAAGGGATTTGTACGTTCATCACCTCAAGACATGACCATCTTCTAACGTTTTTAATTCATCATGGTGAAAATGGAAAGCAAGGTGTTCATTGTTTCTAAATGCTCTTAAGAATATTTAACATGCCACCAATTTACTTCAAATGTGATATCAAGGGATCTTACCTCAAGTGCTCTTAAGGATGGTTTTAGTGAAGAATTTTAAATATGATATCAAGGGATTATGAGTGTGTTCATCTTAAGGGGTTGAAATGCGAATTCAAGTGTTGCACCATTCTTTGTTGAACAATGATAGTTAGTCCAAATTCACATGATGGATAAAAGTTTCAAAGAATTTTACCAAGCTAACTATGTCTACAAGATTATACAAGCTAGTCTTGAATGAATCAAATGAATCATGTAAACTAGTCATGTGAAAAACTTGGATTTATCACGACTAAACGCACCAATAGAATATCTTGAAGTGATTTGAGTCCAATAAGCATGTGAAAAGAGGAAAATACAAGTATAATTGTATTAGAAGACGCAATAACAGTAATATAATACACTTATACAAATTACATTCCAACTACATAAATTCTTGGGGTCCATCCATAATTGAGCAACCCCTAAGTCAGTACAGAAATACAAGTTTCTTTCCGAATACAGAAAGTATCCCTGTGGCTAAAAGCTGCATGTTAGTTTCCCTTTCGTTAATTCATTCGCGCGGGATCTCTTGCCTGGTCTTGCATTGAAGTTTTGACTATCTTCTTACCGTCAGCATTGACGATGATGTCAAAATTCAAAGGCTTTGGGTTTATACTTTTCATGAGAGAAGGTCGGTTTTTAGATACCACCTGGGAACGTACTTTCCAAGGCCTGCGAAATACCATAATCGCATTGGTTAGAGAACAGACACCGGCAACATTAATTTTCCTACAAACCTCTCACATTCAATTTTCCAAGCAGTAAATACCAACGGCTCGATGACTAATTCCGCATGCATCACAACAGAAGCAATTTAGAGGACCTCAACCAAGTGGATAACATGCTCAGATTGTTTGGGCAGTAGGGCATTGTTGATGACAACTTCAAGTTCCATATTGAGTCGCAACAGGGTAGTCTCCTAAATATACAACAACGACTACAATAGTTAGGACACTCCTATAACGGCATGATGGAGGAAGTTAAAGAGCTGGAAGTACCTTAGCTAGGAGACTCTTGTGAACAGAATTTTGTTCGACTTGACAACTTACCAATGATGTTGAATAATCAGTTATCAAATCACATGCATCTAGGGCCCTCGCGGCAGTTGAATGGAAAAAGAAGTAGCTGAGCAAGAGATCCTTGCCTAATGCATTGGAGGTCTCGATAAACCAGCTCCGGAGATAAGAGTTCATTAACGATAAGTTGTATGCTGAATTGTTTTGGGTCTTCGTCTACTTGGGGCCCAAAATGGATCAAACATTCACTGTCCAAGAGAGGAATTAGTCAGTTGAATGCTAAAAAAGGGCAGTTGAAATAATTTTAAAAATAAGAATGATGTTGATGATGAAGAAAGTTCAATTAAACAAACAAGCATACATATTCATTCATTTTTTTATTCAAACCTAACTCAAGCACTTTCAAACCATATTCAAGCAATTCAAGCTTCAATTAATCCAAAATGTACTACAAAGAAAAATTCTATTCAATCATCATCATATCAACTCTCTCATCGGCCAAAACAAATCTCAACCCAAATCGAGAGCTTAAAATCAAATTCAAACGAGTACCGACATTGTTCATCATGTCCAACCCCAACTACATCCAAATTCAAAATGATTCAAACTCAAACCAAGACCCAATTATGTTCATCATTCACAATTCCAATTCACAAATTCAGGACGCATACAACCTTGTTCATGTCATTATTATTCAAGTTTAAGAACATGTCAAGACAATTCTAATCAAGCATAATCACATCAAGCCAACATTTTTAGTTCAAATTCAGTGTATAATTTCATCACAAGGTCATTACAACATATTATTCATGTCATTACAATCAAAGGACAGAAGAATTTAGAGGTGGAACCACGTAATTTTACCACACTACCGACAAAACATTCAAACTCTCGAATCCGTACAAAGACACTCTCCACTAAAAAAATCTCTAATCGTACAAACCAGCTCAGCTAAACCCTAATCATTTACCTTATAAAAAGACACTATTCATTCCCGGCAGAGAGAGGGGTCATTTGTTCAATCAAGAAAACCCTAAATCTTTTTTTCCATCAAGAAAACCTTGACATCCACTAAACTTAGGATCTAAAAAGAGTTTTAGGTCTCACGTTGGATTTCCATTCAATCCCAGAGAAATCAAAGGAGTAGAAATAGAAAAGACCAAGACGAATGAGGGAAAGCAAAGAAGAAAGAATGAGAAAAAAACTCATATGCTTATCGTCGGAAACGCATCACTGGGGTTACTCCAATCAAGGTAGCTCTTTTTCGCTTTTTTTAAAATTTTGTTGTTCCTCCCCGTTTATCTTGCTTGAACTGAGCGTTATCCATGTTTGCTTTGTATTTGAAGTCTTCATCGATGGAGGTTTCATTTGTGTTCTAGGGTTAGGTTATTTTTGTTTTTCCGATGCTTGATTTCTGGCCATGTTTTGTGTTTGTTCTTTATAGATTTGTGCCTAGGAGAGTTTGGTTTAGTTAGGAGAAAGGTTTTGTTTGGGTTTTTGGGTGAGCTATGATGGCGTCGTCGTTAGCTCTCGTAACCACCGCCGTGAGAACTCCCGCTTTTCCACTGTGAAGTGTTTCATGTGGCTATTTTGTTTTCCAGAAAGAGAGAGGAGAGTGTAGGGGAAGAGTGAAGCAGGTGAAAGGTCTTCGGGTTTGGGATTTGTGGCCTGCGTTTGTTTTTTCTTTGGTATTTTTGGTGGATGGCGCTAGCGATGACACGTGTTATCATGGCGGATATTTGTCACTGCGCATGCAGGTGTGATTGTTAGATCCCACGCGTGCAGCTCTAGTTCCCTTACCGTGATCCTTCCATCTAATGACCTTGGATTTAGTCAATGCCTAGGACTAAATCCAATCCAACGGCCTCAGGCCATCCTTAAGTCAACCTCGTTGACTGCAGATCCATAGTGGATCTTAGCATGACTTGGGCCCTATCTGATTTAGGCTGGATTTCTGCTAACACCCCTCTTAGTTTCATTTGCTTTTTTTTTAATTTTTATTTACAACAAGTCCATTAGATTTTTTTATATATATACCTATATATATTTTACTTGTTGGTTTAATTTGTAAAATAAAAATATGTACAACAAATATGTATCGTTAATCATCTTAAATATATTTATTTATTTTTAATTAATCACATTGTTAATTAATTTTATTAAAAATATTCATTTTAGTCAATAATTTTTGTGGTTTAGTCTAGTTGGTTTTAGTTGTGAAATTTCCGATTATTTATTTCATTTGTGCAATTTGCTCACAGCATATGCCTATGCCATAATCATATTTGATTGATTTTTCATTACGCACCCGTTTAAAACCATTTTCCAAATTAAATTCTCAATTCAACGTCGAGCCGTTTTTACTCGTGTAAGTCGAGCGTTTTTGTTTTGCCGTCGACCTTACCCTTCCCAATCAGGATCTCCTTACTATTTAGTTCAAACCCTTCATTGCTTCGCACACGATTTAAAACCCCGATCAACATCGAGAATTTTAACAGAGTCAAATTAATTAACTTAATTACATTTAAACTATTTTAATAAAAGGTGAAAATGGAGTTGGAATGTGGCCTTCGATTTCTCTCCTCAATTGTTCAGGCCCGGGGAGTCTTTCTTAAGTTTGAACAATTGTCTTCTTTAAAAGATTCATGATTCATTAAGTCTATTTTCTCAATACTAAGATGGAAAAGAGAGGGAGTCAAGCCTTTGACTCACTTTCTCGATTACTTGGGCCCGAAGTGCCTTTCTTAAGCCTTGAGTAATCGTCATCCGATTTAACACACTCTAACTATTAAACTATTTCATAATGTTAGATGAAAAAGAGGGAGAGTCAAGTCTTTGACTCATTCGCCCGATTACTTGGGTCCGAGGAGTCTTTCTTAAGCCTCGAGTAGTCGTCATTCATAAACTACTTTAATTATACCGAAATCCTTTCATACTTAAGGTTGAAAAAAAGAGAGAGTTGAATCTTCAACTCACTTTCCCAATCACTTGGACCCAAGGAGTCTTTCTTAAGCCTCGAGTAATTGTCATCCAATCAAAATACCTAAACGCATTTAATTCAACTCCTCGTCGTCGTGCGAACCGTCAAATTTTTCATAAACGAGAGATATGGTGTCTTGAAAACGATGCAAAATATTGCTTCGTCCACATAACCTATTTGAGTCGAGATAAGTGGCGTGCTTCCCATGAATGTTGATATATGGAAATCCATTCAAAGTGATGCAAGCGTCCTCTCCTCACCCGTTTGGGTAAAACAATATTTTTTGTCAAATACGACTAAGTATCTTTCGTTAAATCAAACTAACATTCGTAGTACGAACTATGAACGCTTTGATTTCTTATTTGTCAATGAGAATACATAGGCATAGGATTGCGAGATCCTAGCGAGAAACCTCCTCTCTTTTCTCCCGTAGTCCCACGAACTATGAACGCTCTGATTCTTCACTTCTTTCAAGTGAAAATACGTAGGCACAAGGGCCCTAATCCTTGGCGAGCACCCTAATCTAAAAACACCACCCATTTCTCCTTAGAAATCTAAACTTTTTACCTTACCTTTTTCACTTTATTTTCTTGGAAGAAAACAAACGAATTAAGCTAACATTTCTTACGAATCGAATCAAGAGGTTCCCGTTGAGTACGATGGACGTGAGGGGTGCTAATACCTTCCCCTCATGTAACCGACTCCCGAACCTAGAACTTGGTTACGATGACCATGTTCTTTCCCTAAAGGTTTTATCAATATTTTCCTATCCCTTCTTAGGATGAATAAAATTCGGTGGCGACTCTGTTTTTCGCGACCATTCACGAAGGATCGTGCTTTTTCGTGGTACGATAATCATTTCGTGTCTTCTTTCTGTTCTTCTGACAAGATTCTTATTCCTTTAGAGTCTTGTTCATTTATTTTCTTTTTATTGTTTTCTTTTGTGTTGTTCAAACCAAACTTGAGATGAATTCTCTAGTCAATTCTCCTTTGAATCAACTATTTGTCATCAATGAAAAGTTTGTGAATTTTGATGAGCTGTTTAAGCTTGGTTTTAAATTTTGGAAGACTGTGTCTGAATAAGGTTTGAATGGATACTTTGATATGCTCTATGGTTTCACTTATCCAAGTCTTATCAGAGTTTTGGGTTAATGCTTTCATTGTTGAGCTAAGTTCTAAGTGTGTTATTCTTTCCAAGGTTTCTGGTGTTTCTATAACAGTAACCTCTAATAGGATTGCTAATGCAATTAACTAGGAGGAGATTGGAGAAATTTCACGTACTCTTGTTCGGTAATACTATCTTCCTACTTGTGTACTTTTGTGGATCCATCAAACATCTCTCGGGTCTCAAATCTTCGTCCTGATGCAATTATTTGGAATCACATTTTAAACTCAAACTTGCTACCTAAGGACAAAGATCTGAACCTTGTGGACCCTGTTGAAAAAGATTTGCTACTTCTTCTAAATTGCAGATTGATATTACTCAAGTTATGTTTGATTATCTAAAGGAGACTCTTGCATCTTTTCTCACGGGTAAGATATTCTTCATTCCTTAAGGACAAGCTCTTTCGGAACTTCTAATCCAACAGGGAGTTATCATATGTTTAGAGGATGATTCTTCTGAAATCTGGAGAGAAAAGAATGAAGCAATCTATGAGAGATTCCAATGTTAAGTTTTTGCATATATACGCCTTGTAATTTTTAAACACCTTGTATAAAGCAGTCTTGTTATTAAAAAGTGGTTTTGTTTTTGTTTATATTCTTGTTCAACTTCTTATACCTTGTATAAAGCAGTCTTGTTATTAAAAAGTGGTTTTGTTCTTGTTTATATTCTTGTTCAACTTCTTATGTGTCTTATATATATATATATATATATATATATATATATATATATATATATATATATATATATATATATCCTCCCAGATTTGAGAACGAAGATAATTCCAAATGCAACAATTCATGTTATAAGTCCAACTATCATCATTATAAGCATAATATATGTCATAACTATTATTATGACTATCCCAAACGGATAGACTTTTTGCAAATAGCAAATTATGATTATGTATGTTGTTCACATCTGCTGAATAGTCAACATGACCATGACTATAACTACAATTTTCACTATTGTTCTTCCAGCTATGAATGTTATTATGCATATCAGTTAAACTAGATGGGTCTCCACCGTTATTTT